CCCCTCGTTAATGATCACTGTATCAATCTGAATGATCTGAAGAACTACCGACCAAATTTTGCTGGATTCACACCCCTCCTTTATGAATCCCTAGCGATTCTGAATGCGAACGCATTTTTCATGTTCCTACTATATAAACCGACTTCAGTATATGAACATACGTAGATGGCGCTAATGGAGTAACACATTCATTTCGACGGTGATCGGTTCGCATCTTCGGCGTGAGGAGAGAAGAGAAGAGAGGACGTAGATAGAAAAGAAAGATCTAATCACTTTTGTCGATCGAGTGGTATTATTCGAATTCAGCTATGGCGTCTTGCAATGATCCCGGTCTCGGACAGAAAGTTAGTCTTATAAAAGACAAAGAGCGTGGTTTATCGCATCGAGAATCGAAAGACAAGTTTCAAGTGTCTCCTAGTACCGTGTCGAACATCTTGAAAAGAAAACACGAATACCTTGGTGATTACGGGAGCAACCGAAAGAAGAAGTTCAAGAGAAAACTGTAGAATGAGCTTGGCCAGAACGTAACCGATGCAGTCTACGATTGGTTTTGTTGCATAACGATCTAAGCGGATTCCAGTGTCAGGACCTATTCTGCAGGAATACGCGAGGAAAGATAGTTCCGAGTGTGGCGATTTCTTCGAATTTCAAGGCTAGTAACGGATGGTTGGAGCGTTTTCGAGCGCGCCACAATATTCCATTCAGGGTGATTTTGGATGAGGTAGCCGCTGTGACTGACGAAACAGTTGAAGATTGGAAAGCGCGGTTACCAAAAATTCTGGAAAATTACCATCCGGCGGACGGATAAAACTGCGATGAAATCGGTCTGTTTTTCATACTGAAACAGAATCGTTCCCTCATTCTTGAAACACTTTAGAGGTAGGAAGAAAGTGAAAGATCGATTTACAGTTCTTCGCTGCGCAAACTGGGCTGGAACGGACAAAATGAGACCACTGGTGATTGGTTAGTTATCGAGCCAGTATTCATATGGCTTGTAAATTCTCTTTGCTTTTGTTTAGGAAAAGCAGCGGAACCGAGATCCTTTAAAAACATAGACGTCTCGAAGTTGCCTGTGTCCTGGTGTGACAATCGGACAGCTTGGATGAACGTCTTCATCTTCACGAATTGGCTTGAGGATATCGATTCAATGTTTCAGAAGCAAAAAAGAAAAATTCTCTTGTTTCTGGACAACGCTCTAGTTCACCCATCTGATCTCCCACTGAAGAATATTACACTGAGAATTTTCCCGGCAAATACGATGGCCAAAATACAGCCATTGGATCAGGGTGTGATCAGAGCCTTCAAGGCTCACTACCGCCGCCACGCGGTTAAACACATCATCACTAATTCTGCAACTGCTTATTCGACCGATGATGGCGTGATCACTGCACTGGATCCGATTTGTTGGATCGACTCAGCATGGAAATCTGTCACAGGAACGAAAATTCGAAACACATTTATGAGAAAAAATATTTTTAAATCAGTGTGTGGGTAGAGTATACTAATATTTAAAAAAAATATATCTAACAGAGAAGAAGAAAAAACATTTATTCAAATATATAACCAAATTATAGAAAGTACAATACACGTTTCCAGACACACTTTGGTACTTACTTCAGTCAATAAAATAATTTAACACTTTTAGAAAAACTTTTTCGAAAAAAA